AGAATGTCCTGGAGAATGGTCCTGGAGAATTTCTGGAGGATGTCCCCGTAGAATTTCTGTATAATTTCTGGAGAATTGTGTCTGGAGAATGGTCCTGGGGAATCCTGGGGAATGTCTGGGGAACTTCTGGAGAATATCTGGAGAATATGAAGAATTGCTGGAGAATTCATGGAGAATTATGTCTGGAGAATTGAATGGCCTGGAGAATTCTCCTGGAGAAATTCTGTAGAACTTCTGAAGGATTTCTGGGGAACTTCTGGAGAACTTCTGGAGGATTTCTGAAGGACATCTGGGGAACTTCTTAAGAACCTCTGAAGAGCATCTGGAGAACTTCTGGAGAACTCCTGGAGAACTTCTGAAGAACTTCTGGAGGACTTCTTGAGAACTTCTGAAGGACTTCTCAAGAACCTCTGAAGAACTTCTCAAGAACCTCTGGAGGACTTCTCAAGAACCTCTGGAAACAGCCTCTTAGAACTTCCCCAGTCATCCCGGAGCCCAGTACCCCAGTACAAGCCCAGCCCACACAAAAGCCCCACGACGGACCCCAATATATTCATCAAGACTTCCAACAGCAAAAGCAAAGCACCCCGCAGTACTTTCCAAACCCGGTTTTTTCTGCAAAACTGATTGTGGGTGTGTCAAAGGCCATCTGGAATCTTGGCCTGGACCAACTTTGTAGACTTCGACGCACCCCGCCGAACGGGCCATCCAAGACATAGAAATTCAACAAGTTAGGTGAAGAAAATCCACGTAGAAGATATTACAGGGATGATCCGACACGGGACTTGCCGAAGTAACCGGTAGAGACCTAGAAGAGCTCTGCGGCCTCCTTCAAGTGCACAAGCGTAGATTTTAACCTGATGGCATTCTTCTATCTCACCCACAATCAACGCCACTTAGCGGATTGTCTCTAAGAGCCTCTCCAAGAAAAAGTTGTTTTGTGGCCCAGACTCAACCGTTTGTGGCTTTCCACTGCTTTCACCGATTCGTGAATGGAGCTCATCAATGAGTGACCTTTTCATCAGTCTGGAACTTGCTGTTGTAAGATTTTTTGCAGCTCAAACATTGGGCCGGCCCGTACCCTGCAACTCACAGTCTGGGACTCAACAACGCAGCTATTACCATACTCCAAGTCCATTTGTCGACTTCCAGAATATGCCCCGGAATCCAATTCCATTCTCTTTGTCTTTGAGGGCGCATTTGGCACAATCTCTCCAATCCGGAAATAAGCACCCCTGAAGTCTTCCGATTTGCCGAAATCTTGTTAATTCAATCCCACAAATCATTTTCAACTCCATGTTCTTCATTGACTGCATCACGGACTTGCTTCCTTGCCAAAGCACCATTGCTGTATCAAATCATTCCCATATAAGCATTCTTAAATAGAAAGTTCTTGAAAAGAGTCTGCAAAAAAGGCTGGTATTTCTCAGTCCCCAAAACAAAGGTCGTGAAATCCAAAAATTTGCTCTTCGATAATCGCAAAGAAACAATGGTAGCGGAATAGGGTCTGGGGAATCAAGGTCTGGCACTATACCAGCACATTGAGGGACCGGGCCCCCGGATTTGCCAGCTCTCTGTTTGTCGCTTCTAAAGGTATACATGAAGTAAGACGGAGACATGTTTCATCAAAAAGCGATCTTTTCATTTGCTGCGGCACAGCCAAATGTCCAGTGCATCATGTCTCAGAAATCAAGCGTTCTGGTGGCAACACGTATAGTTGTATCCCTCACAGGACCATTCATAAAGTGCCTGTGCTTTGTGTCCCAGAGTCCATCACTGGTATTGTGTTGTGGAATATAATATAATTATGCCAAAGGTCAGGAGGGATCCTTCAAAGCCAGGAGTCCACGTTTCGAGCCTCTTGATTCAAACTCTCATGCTCTTTGCCTAGATTGTTTCGTCTTGTCTGTGGTGTTTTCTCTTTCCGTTGGGAAAGTATGCTTTTTTGGAACACATTCATTTCACAAGACCGTGCTTCGAAGCCTCTTGTGCATCTCTTTTATTTGACAAGCCTCTGTTTTCTGCAAAGCCTTTTCTCAATATCACATCTCTTGTCTCAAGCAAATACAATCTTCCACATAAAATTCTTTTCCTTAAAAAACCATGTCTTCTCCATGGAGCCTTTGTCTTTTTACATGAAGTCTCTATTCACTGCAAACCCTCTCTTCCAAAAGTCTCTTTTTTCATGCAGTCCCTGTTTCCTGCGAAACCTCTCCATCACATAAAAGTCCCCCTTTTTCCACACCCTTTTCTTTTGAATATAATCTCTGTTTTCCAAATCCTTCTTTTTATTGCCTCTTCTTCGAAACCCTCTATTTTTATTCCCACCTCTTTAATGCCCCTTCAATTCTAGCCCAATCAGGGTGCGCTCGAACGGGCCCCTGATACTAGGCTGATATCGGGCCAACAATTTGCACCCAACCATCCGCGCGAATTTATTTCCCCAGACCACCATGTTTTCTTTCCCCGACCTACCGTCGTTTTGCAGCAAAACATCGTCAGTTCCGCCTCCATGAGTATCACAAACACAAACACGAGGCCCGTCCCATAGAACTATATAAACCTGCCGCTTCCCCTTTGATCTCTGATAAAAAAAAGGGAAAAAGAGAAGCAATGCGCTCTATTTGCAGCCTTCTCCGCGGTTGCCGCCAGGCCAGCCGCCAAAGCTGCGCCCGGATCTAGGCCCTAATATGCCGGCACGAAATACCGCAGGCCCGCGAAGTCCGGGAAAGAGGCCGGGCCGCCAATTCCGGAGACAATAGCATAAAGCCAAACCGGGAATAGAGCAGACAAAAAATACAGTGCTCCCGATTTTTCCAGGCTTAGTGTGTGTACGTCTACCACTTGCGTTTGTGGCCACTATCCCAGCTTTTGCCGCCGGCGGCGCTTCGTGTTTCGCCCCGGTTCTTTTTGGTGGCATTCCCGCCCGGGCCCCGCCACGTCATTGCCCGCCCTGCCGCAGCCTCGCGCCTTGCCATCGCCGTGCAACCGCATACGGACCCACAAACCTCGGGCCGGGAATACTCGCTCAACCCACCAAGAAACGAAAACACAAAACCAAAAACCCAACCCCACCGCCTCCCGCCTCGCACCACGCCAGACTGCCCTACTCTTTCCCTCTGAAGGAGCAGATATAAACAAACAACCGCCCACGCCTGTTTGCAGAACCTTTTGTGTTGCCTTGTGCAAACTGACAATGCGGAGCTAGGTTTTCCTCCGTGCCAATGCTAGGAAGACTATTCAAGCTGAAGTCGCCACTAGGCGCAGAATTCAGCTCGCCCGACGAGCCAAGCAGCCCGCTCAGCGAGCTGTCGGAGAGCACGGCAAACCCTGTCTCCGCGTCTGCGCCAGTTCTCGAGGGTGCCAATCCAAGCGTCAACGCCAACTCGTTCGAGGACTCGTACACGCGAGAGATCCTCTATGGCCAGTCCGATTTGGCGCTCCATCCGCTCTCCTTTACCCCGCAGCGCTTCCGCTTGGTGGTCTCGCAAGATGGCGGCAACTTGCGCTCGAAACAAGTACTCTACGACTCGGCCGCCGACTCGCTGATTTCAGGCAATGTGCGAGCAAAGACCCCGCCAGCCTCGGCATCAGCGCCCTGCCTGTCGCCTCTCCTGACGAGATTGACGGGCGATTCAGAAAGCACGCAGTATGCGTCTCCATCACTGAGCTCCCGGTTACCCCATTCGGCAACCACACTCAGAGGCGCCTCTCCTGGGAAAAATGTCCACATGGCCAAGTTCTTGTACAATGTAAATGACTTGAATGATTACATGTTCGGCCGCGGGCTTCCATCTGTCGAGAGGCACACCTCGACGAAAATACACATTCTTCCTCCACTCAATCTGCTGGCACAAGGATCGTGCCTGGCTGTGCTATTGACGAAGCTCTTTCTGATTTCAGACTCGACTCCCGGTCCCGGGGAGCTGGACGTGTTGGACGATTCTGATTGGACTCCACACGCCACCTTCCCGTCAAAAGACACGGTGTTTCACGTGTCACTACCATCAGGGAAACCGTGTGTCACGACGCCAGACCTGCCGTCTCTGACCAGGACCACATTCCTGCTCAGCTCGAGGTTTGCAGTCGGTGTAATCGTACCATTGGAGGACCTGAGCGCAACAGTGGAGGAAGTCATTTTCAGCAACTGGGAAATAATCTCGCACTACCTCATAGTACTCCAAAAACTTGTCTGCAAAAAGCTCACGCTTGCGTTGAAGTCGTCCCTGGCCTTCAATCAGTCACCCTACATAAACAACAAGCGAATACTGTTTCCGTCCGGTGTTTTACAATTGGAGACAGAGTTCGGACATCAGTTGCAAAAGCTCATCAAGCTTGTCCACTACAATGTGAATACTCCCAGATTGGTGAATATCAATGCGTTCATGTCCTACAGCTTGAATCACGTGGACTCGAAATTCAAAACGAACGTGATAAATTGGGCACTCGAGGTCATCAATTGGCTCGAATTTAAAGATGGAAAGAACTTCACCCCTTTACATGCCCAAGCGATTCCTCAGATGCATTCTCAGAATTCCTATCTTCTGCACAGCAATTCTAGTGCCACTTCTTGGTATCGAATAAATGAAACACCAGGGCCGACGAACACTTTCTTAGCAAGCCTACTAGCTCTCATATTGCCACTCAGGGATCTACTATCTAAAGGGCCATTGCACATAGACCCGTTCAGCCCGTCAAAGTCGAAAACGGTTACTAGAATTGTGGTGATGACCAGCAACTCCTCTGTTGCAAAAAAACTTATATTTATTTTGAGTGGACTTATTCCAGATGTTGAGCTTTTGCAACAACTAGAATCAGGAAGTGGAAGCAGCTCCCAAACTCGACTCTGCGAAAGTCAGGAAGTCAAAAGTTCACAGGTTCCATTGCCAAAAGCTTTTGAGAAGTCCCTAAAAGTAGGGCTGCCTCTGATCGATGGGTTACAAGAGGGGGGTATTAGCTTCACAGCAAACCCCATCACCACAAAACCAATACCCATCCGAGCTAATCTGATGGCCTCAGACTCACACTCTGACGATTCTGCACCAGTGTCAGTATCTTCCACGAAAGGCTGGGATGTTCCCCACAAATCGATGACTAGCTTGTCTTTTCAAGGACAAAAGACGTTGCTAGAAACTTCCAATGTGACAGTGGCTCAGAAGATTCCAAGCGCACGGAGAGTTTCCGCATCAAATGCATCATCGATGGCTTATCTTTCATCTTCTCTCAATTCTTCGTTATCCTCAAGTGCCTCGAACTACTCATTGTCCAGATTAGGTAGTAGCTTCATGGACAAATGGAAGAGCTCGCTTGTGGGATCAAACAAGTTCCAGCCTCATTTAATCTCGGAAACCCTTGATGGGGCAATTACGGCTGAGACGCTAAATGCTAGACCTGCATTTTCTGCCACGAAATCCCCATCACCAGGTGAGGAATTGGATGAGCCAACTTGGGAGGATTCGCTTTCCGCAAACTCTACCAATTCGCCTGTGAAACAGAAATACTCGCGCACTCAATCTCTTCTCAACTTGTTCAATGAACTTCCAACAAATAAATCGGGGCTCTCATCCTCGGCTTTGGGGGTAGATAGAACGAGGACATCCATTTACATTCCTCCCGTGAACGTGGAAGGCAGAGATGCCGATGAGATGAATCTGAAGATTATCAAGCATAAAGTTCAGAAGCTAATGCTCAGCAAGCTACGCATTTCTCTGATGGATAACAACAGACTCTCCGTTGAATATGAAAGCCCAGCCGGTGATTCTGAAAATGGTCGTACTCCCAACAAAGGTCCTAATTCTCAGCTCCCAAATTCTGACTCACATTCAGAACAGCTTCACAACAAAGCCTTCTTGCAACCGAATGTTGCTTTTGTGGATGAGTTCAGGCCCGAGTATACAATTCAGTCGTGTCCGGTCAATCCAAGGCTCGAGGCTCAGGTGTCCAATGCAATGAAAAACGATTTACTATTCTACCAAAATAACTGCGGATACGAAAAGGTGGCCTCTAAGACGGTGTTTATCAGTTTGCGAGCCCGCGAAATCAAACTAATTGAGATGACCGTGGGGAATCAAAAGCGGGGCTATTTTGGAAAAGGAAGTGTTCCGGGGGTATCTCCAGCGGGGGTAGGGGACGCAGCCACCTCTTACTTCTCCAGTGTAGCGCCCAACTCCCCTAGTGCATCGTATTTTAGCGGAGGTGATCACATGCACGTGGGCCAGGAGAATAGGAATGTGCCGGTCAATAACAGCTTCCGTACGACGGTGAAGAAGGTTTACACCCCAAACAGAAATTCCGGTGACAAGGAAGCAATTCTGCAAATCGAAGGGCAGCTCGAAAAGCTCAACGAGGTAGCGTCTCTTATCAACGGCGATCCCACGGGAGCGTCAAGCACGAAGGATCTCTACAATCGTATGTTGTTCAATGCGGTCCGCGAGCTTATTACTTGAGGTTCTTGTGGTGCCGCAAATAGTGCGATAGCGGGCTGCTCGAGCAAAACATAATAATACTTTGAAAACAAATAGCTCTCTGCCTGACTCCGCCGGGCGTTTTGACAGTCAATACGACATCAAGAACAGAAACAGGCAAACCATCTTTCCTGAATTAGCCCAGACCAGGGGCCACGTTGCACATTTTCAGTTCAGTCTGGCAGAGACGATGTTTTGGGGCGTCAAGCCTGTAGCACGCGCGCGCGGCGAGTCGCTCAAAGAAAAATCGAGAAAACTGAGGTGAAGTTTCAAGCGAATCTGGCCTTGTCAACAAAGAGAAGCCACTCCAACGCCAGGAGCCTGTCACCATCTATACGCTTCACTGGTATACAGAGACACCACTGCTCGCTATCAAACGTCGGCCCTTGGAGAGAAAAATTCACCGACCCAACTGATCC